ACAATCAGAGAATGCACATGCGGAAAAGATAAATCACACATAACATAAACAAGGGACTTCCACACCGAAGTCCTTTCTCGTGTAACCAAATCCTAAACCGCGAATTGACTTCTTCCTTCCATATTCTTTTTTACCTCACACGGCCCTAACCACAAAGGCTAAAAGACTAGTGATCCGACTCTGTAATACCACGGCCCTAGGCTGCAATCCCGTTCCTCCGTGGATTACAATCGGTAGTCATGGTCCTAGGCTGCAATCCCGTTTCTCCGTGACTCCTGATACCTGGAAGTGTCAACCACTCTTTACAATTGTTAGAACGTTACATGATCCTCTTGATCACTTGTAACGTCTAACCTCACACACAACAAAAAAATTTACCTTAGACCCGCATGTATCTAATTAGATCACATGCGAATCAGCTTCCTCTTGATATCCTGCATCCACAAAGGTTAGCGGCAAGTACAAATATAATCATCCCATGACTAATGCAACACACAATCACACAATCAAACATCATGCATAAACAATCAAAGAAAACACTTAACTAAATTCCTAAAATTCTAGCACGAACCTCTACGACTATAAAGCATAACAATAAACAAGCAACGTGTGCTCTACTCATCTACCACACGACAAACATCACCAAGACTCATCTTATTCTGAATGATTAGGGCTTAGATTCGGACTTAGGCTCTAGACCGGATCTAGGTTCCTCAACTGCTCCACGAACTAACGAATCTTCCCTTACCTTAAAACGAACAGAGTTTCGGCTTAAATCTTGATCATTCCAATCATCAAAACCACGAAAGATGGATTCAAGATCATAAGACAAAACTAAGTCAGATAGAAAAGTTAGGATCGTAACGCCTTACCATAAAAACTTCACAGCACTACCGGATGGTTCCCGACAACAGACCACAAATTGTTATAGGTTTAGGGAAGCAGGTAGGCACAGGAGGACGGTCAGCGTGTCTGTTCGTGCTTTCCGATGACTCGTTGCACATGGTCGTGACACCTCATGCTTACGGATTTGTCGTGCTTGTGGATTTATCATGTTTCTGATGACTTGTCACACAAGATCATGACACCTCGTGCTTACGGGATTTGTCGTGCTTCTGACTTGTCGTGCTTGTGAATTTGTCGTGCTTCCGATGACTCGTCACATAAGATCACGATACCTCATGCTTACGGGATTTTTTGTGCTTTTGACTTATCGTGCTTGCGAATTTGTCGTGCTTGTGGATTTGTCGTGTTTCTGATGACTCATCACACAAGATCGCGACACCTCGTGCTTACGAGATTTGTTGTGCTTCTGACCTATCGTGCTTGCGGATTCGTCCCGCTTGTTGATCCCAAGCACGTCAGTTATCTCATTACTCAAAGATTTCTTTATTACATTGTGCGGTGAAATTACAACGTATGGAACTCTAATTACCACGACTTGGGAAAGTCTCTACCGCATCCTGCCGCATCCTCCTACCTTGCTCGCCTATGAGCCATCCAACCACCGGATTTCCTATCTTGCAGTCCTGGTAAGGGGGTAAGTATTGAATACCCAATAAGACGGTGTTCTCCGTCTCACGACCTAATAAAACCTAACTACCCTTGAAAACTATTACTCCCACATGATGCCTTAGCACCATGTGTCACAGTACTCGGTAGCAACCAGATAAGCCCACCGCTTGCTAGTTCCTACCTCACACTCGTAACTAGGCAAACCCACCGGCTACCTCCTAGTTACCATCTCTTAGTAGCTTGAAGGTGTCCCACCAGACACAGTCATAGTACTATCTCAACACACACACTCCCTCGGGCTCGGGCCCACACTCTTGGCCTTGGACCCACGTAGTTGCCCGTCGGCGAACTTTCACCACTCTGACCATCATGGGCCTCCCGTGCCAGCCCCTCAGGACTGCCAGGTCTGCGTGCCACTTTTTCAGGCAAAACATAAGTAAGTCGGCGACGACTTCCCATATAACCGCCCCTATGCAATTATTAACAGTGGCATTGTGAACCTACTATCCTACCAATTCGTACGGATTACTACTCTAGACTCTCCTAAGGTTCACAATCATTTCTCTACTCTATTTTCATCTAATCCACTCTTCTACGTTCTCAAGCAATAGCCAAAACATTTCAAACAATACTTTTGCCCCATATGGTCTGCCCCAGTTAAGTATGGCTATCCCATTACGTTACCCATGACACATGTATGGCCATACAATAGTTGTCCCTGCAGAAATTTACACATAAGATTATCCATTAATTGTGGATAGCTCATGACACCAACTTGTACTGCGGACAGTCCAAGCGANACCATGTCTATCCTCTATCCCCTTGGTTGCAAGCCATCTAACTTGAGTTCGTCAAACCTCTCTGACTCTTCTCTTGCTAGACCTTACTCACAACCATGCGATGGGTTAACTAAGGTAGTACTAGCATAACCATTAGGTCATCCTATCAGCTTCCTGCTTGGCTCTCAACAATATCTATTAGACTGTCGGATCCCTACAAACAAGCGAACCATCGGGTAGAACTTACTTTTCTTGAGCGGTAGCTCTACCATAGCTCTATTTCCTAGGTTTAATGATCAGTTAGTCTTTCTACCTTTCAACTTCCTGGACTAACTTCTCATTTGGCCCAAGGTAGCTCCCTGGAGAATAGTATAGCTTTGCCAATGCAAGACTCAATTCCTAAACAAACCTAACGTTATGAAATATGATCCGGGGCATAAACTCTCTACGGAGCTCTTTCCGGCAATCACCA